GTGTGTGTGTGTGTGTGTGTGTGTGTGTGTGTGTGTGTGTGTGTGTGTGATGCGTGTTGCTCCGTTTCCCAGAACTTTATAAACCAGCGTGTTGTTGGCTCCGGATTAGGCCCAGCAACAGCGTTTGCCAACATCTGCCTGCCATTACTCCTGTGACACTGGCAGTCATGCAGCAATTAATCAGACTGTTGCGATAGCCGCCACTCGGTCACTCTGCACCTCGGGCACATCACGAAGCAGCAGGACGAGGGTCAGCGTTCAGAGGGTCGCGTGTCCTGTGAGCTGTGACTGTACATGTTCCTGTCTAACTTCACTAAAAACCCTCTGGCCTGTAGGTACTGTTTAGGGCCAGAGCATCGTATCTGATGTTAACCGGGGTTACTCTGTTTCTGGCAAAGCCGACCTCTAGTCAGTAGCTTGTTAATGGTGTGGTCGTGTTTTTAAATGCAGATCTATCCAGAAGTATTCATGCTTAGTGCTGCTGGAAACACAACTGTAAGATGATGGAAGATTCAGAAGGCAATATGTTTCAGTTGTTCTTGTGTGGTGCTGAATCTGCGACCTTTAAATCAAACGTATACACTCGGGCTGAAATGATTAGTCGATAGCGAGGAAATCAATCAACAATTCATCAGCTGTAATAGATTCATCGTTAAAGTCATTTATCAAAGGAAAAAGCCTCTCGCATGTGAGGATTTGCTGCTTTTTTTGTTTTACATCATGGTAAATTGAACATCTTTGGGTTTTGGACATTTGAAGACGGGACTTTGGGCTCTTGGAAATAGCGATGAGCATTTTTCATATTTTTAAGACTGAAGGATTCACCATAAAAACTGAAAAAGAATTTGATATTCGACTGATTGTTTCTGTAATTGTTGTCAAGCAGAACATTATCAGATCTCAGCTTCTCAAATGTTTTATATGGTTGCAAATTAAATAGTCAAATAACTTTGAGTTTTGTATTATTGTTTGAGCAAAATAAAGAAGGTGAAGACCTTGGGGGGTCTGGTGGATTAATGTTTTTATTAACCGTCAAACTAGCGAATCTCTTAATTGAGAAAATAATCAGGAAATTAATGGATGATGAAAAAAATAGTTGGTTTCAATCCTACTGTGAAAAATAAACTCTGTAGGCAGAGGTGTGATTTGAAAATCTTGCAAGTCATAAAAAGACATTGCGTTGTATTCGTCAGGTTTAACATCATGTAGCCGGATAGTATGGAAGGTTTACGGTGCATTCAGACATGCAGCTACAAGGAGACAAGTAGCAGCAGGATGGCGGTCATTTTAGGCAAGAGGAAATCACATGCCTGCCATGTGATTGGCCAGTACCTTTCCACATTCCTCTGCTTGACAGGCGTGTACACACACACACACACACACACACACGCCAGCTGTGTTGCAAGATGCTGTTTTTCAGGAGTCGGGGGAGAGAAAGTAATCTCTAAACATCAGAAGTGCCCGTCCCCTGGAGGCAGCGTGGAGAAATTATTACTTGACTGAGACAGAATGAGAGATGGCTCTTCTCCCCCCCCCAAGTTTGTTTTAAAGATGGCATCTGTCTACGTTTTGATCTAACCCGGCAGTAAAGAAAACATTACAACCGCAGAGGTTTGAATCCACCAGTCGTGGGAATAAAATCCTTATCAAGAGGAGCTGTTGTTATGTCTGCAAAAAGGTAAACACCACCTGCGTCCCTTTTTCATCTCTGTGACCGTGTCACTGAACGGCGCTGCTGCATCAAGGCTCACGCTCGGCGTTGTGGGGATAGCGCGGTGTTTGATAAGGGTTGTTTGGCATTTGGCCTGTCGAACATCCTCCGCGCTCTGATAAAGCTGCAGGCTCCCTGCTGCTCGTGGAAAGGAACGATCTGTGCGGAAATTTTCATTATGCTCCCGACGTAAGACTCTTTCGGTGACGTTCACGACTGTTTAAGGGGACCTAAGCCATGATATCCTGAAAGCTCACCTCCGTTGGCCTTTTGGAGCATCTTGAAAACTTTGTAATGAAACTGGCAGCGGTGAAGTAGTCTGCATCAGAAGTTGTGGGTGGTTTCTTTTGTAAAAGCCTGAGCCACATCACTTTGTAAGATGGACCGTTATTGGGGATGCTCAGTAATTTGAGTCAGTGATGAGGTTGGGATGCAGAAGCCTTTTAATGAGATTTGCTGGAGGTGATGGTGGTGTTGGCTTGCCTGCTGTGTGTAGCTCACTAGTGATGGCTCTCCCTTGTTTTTCTTCTCTTTCTCCGTGACTTGGAAAGACAAGAAATTGAAAGAAAAAGATTCACCCTCTGGTATTCTGTAGCACAATGAGGATTTTTCCTAGACTAAGCAATCGTGCACATAATGCAGTGGATAAGCTGCAGAGCTTGTTTCACAAAGAAACATGTACGGTGGCTGACTATGGAAAGCCCGACTATAAATAAACGCTACTGTAGACCTCACCTTAGGGCCGTGTCGCATTTCAGAAGACGGTCCAACATCCAGGCCGTATCACAGGTCTGCTTTACTGAAAGTAGCTTGAAGGTTTGAGAGATGCATTCAAAATATGAGTAAGACTGCTTTGTGGGTTTCACCTGTTAAATCCAGCTCTTTCTTTCTTATAGTTAATTAGCAGTCACTTTGATGTACAGATAATAATTTAATCATTGTCGCTAATTGTTTTTTTCTTCCTGTTATTCTCTCCTAGGTTTCCTAGATTCCAGAAAGCCCCACCTCCCAGAGGGATTCCTGACAAGGGGCCAGAAAAATGAGCACAACCCAAATAGAAGCAACTGTGCCAACCGGCTATCTCACTGCGCTGTGAGCAGCCATGCCCTCCCTTCATCAACCATCGAGGGGAACCCCTCTTGAGACGCGGGACTGTTTGCTGACATAGATTTGGAAGAATTGGAACCTTCGCAACAGAAATGGCATTGGTTTGTGTGGGCAGTAACGCATCAGAGTACATATTAGAATACAGGTGAGGCTGAACCTCTAGCCGATACCCAGAGGACTCTTAACAGGAGGTAAACAGCCTCGGATGACTTTCACGCAAGGACGGAGCCACAGCCCAGCTTTGATGATTTAGTATCCATCCCAGTACCTTGCTGACAAGGTCGTATCATGGCTGCTGCTGATCCCCATTGCAACGGTTCCTTGGCTGGGCGAGGAGCAGACTGAGAAAGTCAACAATGCAGCGTAACGGCGGTGGGGGGGGTGCCGGCGGCCAGCCGTGGGTGCTGCGGCGCGTGCGTCTCACCTGGCTCAGTTTCATGCTCTTCTTCATCCTGGTTTTCTTCCCGCTCATCGCCCACTACTACCTCACCACCATCGACGAAGCCGGGGGTCCCGACAAGCGCATCTTCGGGCCGCGGCCCGGCGGCGAACTGTGCGAGGCCAAACACGTGCAGGACCTGTGCCGGATTCGCGAGTCCGTCAGCGAGGAGCTGCTGCAGCTGGAGGCCAAGAGGCAGGAGCTCAACGGGGAGATCGCCCGGCTCAACCTGCGCATCGAGGCCTGCAAGCGGAGCATCGACAGCGCCAAGCAGGATCTGCTGCAGCTGAAGAACGTTATCAGCCAGACGGAGCATTCCTATAAAGAACTGATGGCCCAGAACCAGCCCAAGTTATCGCTACCGGTCAGGCTGCTGCCAGACAAGGAGGACCCGGGACTGCCGCCGCCCAAGTCGGCCCGTTCCTGCCGCCTGCGCTCCTGCTTCGACTATGCACGCTGCCCTCTTACTTCTGGGTTTCCCGTGTACGTCTACGACACAGGCTCCTATCCATGGGCGGATTATCTCGACCCGCTGGTGAAGCAGGCGTTTGCGGCATCGGTTAAGACCAACATTTATATTACCGATAACCCCAGCGTTGCTTGTCTGTATTTGGTGCTGGTAGGAGAGCTGCAAGAGTCCTCCGCCCCGCCGCCGTCTCCTTCAGAGCTGGAGAAGCAACTAAAAGCCCTCCCTCACTGGAGGTCCGATGGACACAATCATGTACTGGTGCATTTCTCTAGAAAGTCCATGACGCAGAACTTCCTGTACAATGTGAGCACAGGCCGGGCGGCGGTCGCTCAGTCCACCTTCCTGGAGCAGCAGTACCGCGAGGGCTTTGACTTGGTCGTCTCCCCGCTGGTTCACGCCCTCTCGGAGCCAAATTTTTTGGAAGTGCCCCCTCAAGTTCCCGTAAAGAGGAAGTACCTCTTCACCTTCCAGGGGGAGAGGGTGGAGTCACTGAGGAGCAGCTTACAGGAGGCGCCGCCTCAGTCTTTCGAGGAGGAAATGGAAGGAGACCCCCCGGCCGACTACGACGATCGCATCATCGGCACCTTAAAGGCGGTGCAGGACAGCCACCTGGATCAGGTGCTGGTGGAGTTCACCTGCAAGAACCCACAGCTGTGTTTGCCGACCGAGTGGGCTCTTTGTGGCGAGAGGGAGGACAGGCTGGAGGTCCTCAAGGCTTCCACTTTTGGCTTGGTTATTGCTCCAGGGGACGGACAGCTGGTGGCCTCAGCGGGCTGCGGGATGAGGCTCTTCGAGGCCCTTGAGGTAGGGACCATTCCAGTCGTGCTGGGGGACCACTCCAGACTCCCATACCACCAGTTTATCCGCTGGAGTGAAGCAGCCATTATAGTCCCCAAGCCTCGTGTCACAGAGCTGCACTTCCTGCTCCGCAGCCTATCAGACAACGACATGTTGGCGATGAGACGCCAGGGCCGCTTTCTGTGGGAGACCTACTTCTCCACCACGGAGAATGTTCTTAACACCCTCCTGGCCAGCATCCGAACCAGCATCCAGGTTCCTGCTGCGCCCATCAAAGAAGAGCCCGCCCACGAGATCCCCCACAAAGCGGGGAAGATGGCAGGAACCGACGCCAACCTGGCCGACAATGGAGATCTGGATTTGGGTCCTGTTGAGACAGAGCCCCCCTACGCTTCTCCGCGCTTCCTCCGCAACTTCACATACACGGCGGCAGAGACTTACAGAACGTGGAACCGGGCCCCGGGGCCTTTCCATCTGTTCCCTCACACTCCTCTGGACCCCGTGCTGCCCTCCGAAGCCAAATTCCTCGGCTCAGGTACTGGTTTTAGGCCTATCGGTGGAGGTACGGGAGGCTCGGGGAAGGAGTTTCAGGCAGCTCTCGGAGGAAATGTGCCCCGAGAACAATTCACCGTGGTGATGCTGACGTACGAGAGGGAGGAGGTGCTGATGAACTCTCTGGAGAGACTGAACGGCCTGCCGTACCTCAACAAGGTAGTGGTGGTGTGGAACTCACCCAAGCCTCCGTCGGACGACCTGCTGTGGCCAGACATCGGCCTGCCGATTGTGGTGAGTGCTCCGTCAGGAAAGAGTTCAACAAATGTACACACATTCATCTCAACGGTGTTTGTTTATTTTATAAGGGATACATCTCTGTCACATCTCGTCTCTCTGAAGTGCTAAAAAAAAAGTAACCTGAAACACATCACATTGAGCTGTTTGGATCGGTGCCTCTTTGAAACTCTGCAGGAGTCCACACCAATTACCAGCAGCTTTACTAAAAAGACGTGAAGGAGTCTGACACCCATGAATAATACAATTTGTGCTTTTTGAATTAAGCCCTGGAAAATCAAATATTCATGTGGTTCATATTCACACCATTAGTTTGTGACGGGGACATGTGGTGCGCTGTGAAAGAGGAGCTGAAGAAATGGATCCCGTGGAGAGTCTTTGGTGTTACCTGGCACTGAGCTTCTACAGCATATTAGCTGTTTCTGTAGGGCACATGTAAACCTAGATTATATGACACCCTCAGAATAGCTCTGTGCTAAGATGAGTCTTACTGAAGTCTGTTTAATCATGAGCAGTCACAAACAATTTTAAAGTAGAGATCTGTTAGTGTTATGTAGATCATGTAGAAGTACAACTTGTTGTGCGTAGCGTTTATCAAAATGTACTCAACTACACTTGTAGTTTATTAAAGTATCACTACTCACAGAAAATATCTGAGAAATGTTCTCTTCTACGCCCGCAGGTCGTCCGCACAGAAAAGAACAGCCTCAACAACCGCTTCCTGCCCTGGGACGCCGTGGAGACCGAGGCCATCCTGTCGATTGACGACGACGCTCATCTCCGCCACGATGAGATCATGTTCGGGTTCAGGTCAGTGATGGTGACCGAATGCACGCGGCCCAAAGGATTCATATATATATTCATATACAGTAAAATGTAAGGGAACGCTTCGTCTCTCGTGAGACATCAAAACAGGTCAAAAAAAAATGCAGAAGCATCACATTCCTGAAAATGCTCAACTAGACAGAGAAACTGAACCAACCACTTGAGACTGAACCAGAGAAAATAAAAGGGAACCGTGTTTCCTTGTAGTCATGATTCATTTGCTCATGCTGTAGCTAGATAAGCTGAATGTGAAGGCCATGTTCAAACCCATTAAAAGAGCATGCTGAGCCTCTCCCAGACCCGTGTGTGTGTGTGTGTGTGTGTGTGTGTGTGTGTGTGTGTGTGTGTGTGTGTGTGTGTGTGTGTGTGTGTGTGTGTGTGTGTGTGTGTGTGTGTGTGTGTGTGTGTG